TATATGCACGATTTGTATTTGGTTGTGATGGTTCTTATCTCAGAGAATTACAAAGGAAGGTAGAATTTCTTGATATATGTTTATTTTTTATAATGCTATTTATAAACTATATAAAAAAACACACTAATTTTGAATTTCGCATTTACTTAATTCTCAGGACAATGGTGATAGGTCGTTCAACCAACGAATCAATTTATGCAAAGATCGTGCATTTTCATTTGTAGTACGTATTTCACAAAATTCAACAGAATTAATTAAATCACCAATTTTGGCTTTCGTACTAAAAGTTGATTGATGTGAAGAGGTTCGCACCTTCATGCAAGATTATCAAATCGAATGCATAATATTTGTAAATAGTTCATTTTAACAACATTTAATTACATTTATTTTTATTCATATATCATTCATTTTCTAATATAAATTTCTATTATTTTTTTCAGGATATATCTTCCGAAAAAGGTAATTTTTGAATAATATACACATTCTATCATATTTTAAACTATTGTTAGACAGATATTATATTTTAATTGTGTTGGTACAATTTTTTAATCCTTTTTAATTCACCTTTTTATTTTCATTTTTTCAATAATGTCAGCACCGTGCGTAGCACGGGTATTCACACTAATACGTATGTATGTATACATACATACATACATATACACACACACAAGTGTTTGAGGATTTGTAGTTATCTACATCTCTTAACAAGGATCATCTAAAGAGTCTTTCAAGGAGTAGATGAAACAATCACCATATGAATATCCAAGTGAGATCTTCCCTATTTCTTTATTTTTTTTCCCCTGTCGTCTTGCACGTAGTAGTCGTTTATGATCAATCACTATATGCCAAGATGCAAATAGCAAAGCAGGCACCCCTTTACTGCAAGAACATCAAAGAAGAAGATGAATCAGAAGGAAGCAAACAAGAAAAAAGGAGTTTCATCATCTATTTAGAATGCTAGGGTCAATAATGTGGACCATCCCAATTGTATACTGTAGAAATACTTACAACATTCCCTGTAAATTCTATAATCTCTTGTGGCTGCGTTTGTAAGAATTTTTCCAAAATCTTAAGGGACCATTATTTTCATAATGCCTATCAGATGAAGCAACGTTCAGTCTTCGTATTATCTTCGTATTCCAAAGGATATGCAGAATTTTGTGTAACTGTTCTGACTAAGGGGGAGTGTTCCAATGGAATTTTAGTATGAACAGTAATCTTTTGTAATACAAAAACTGAGAAACTGAATACCATTAGAAACTACTCTCAACAAATAATGTTCAAACTCGGAAACTGTTTATTTAAGGAAAACTAACTTCATCTAATGACAAGTGGATCAAAATCAGGCTGTATTGATCAATTCCTCAAGATGGGAAGTCTCTAAAACATCACGAAAAGCTAACTGATCAAAATCAGGTGATATTGGTAAAATCCTCAAGATGGAAAGGTTCAAAAACATCATGAAGATCTGAGTACGTAAAACTGTTCAGAAACTACATGCCTATCAAGAAAGAAGATGAAGGAGAATCAGGCATTCAAGAAACAATAGAAGGTGGTTCATCTACTCAGGCAAGAGTCATTCTCTTCCTATCAGTATTTGGGTAGAAATATTTCGAAGACTCCCAATAAAGACTGTTCTGTGGTGTAGCTGCGTCTGTAAAACATTTTCCAAAGTACTTGAAGTGGGTGAATATCGATGCGAATCAAGATTCACAGTGAAGCCTGTCCGGGCAAGGGCTCCACCAAATGAAGGAAAGCTTTATATATTAGTATCCAGCAAAGGCTTACTTTGTTTAGCGGAAACATTTCCAGCGCATATGATGCCGAGGTTCATCTACATATGCAATCCTATTTTGGGAGAATATTCAGAACTTCCCCTTGGCAAAATTAAAGATATTCCGGTGTCGTATGGTTTTGGGTTCTATCCCTCATCTGATGATTACAAGGTAGGTTGTAAGAGTTTTGGAAGAAAGAAATCCAGTTAACAATATTTCAGAAGTTAAAACATATGCTGAGGTCTTTACTGTAGGACTTGATGCTAAATGGTGAAAACTAGAGCATGAAACTAGTCCAAGTATAATAGCACCTAAGGAAGTGAATCAGCTTTTTGGAATTCAGGGGCTCTTGTTTCAGGGAACGATTGATCCAACAAGTTTTGATTTTATATGTGCATTCGATATAATTCAGGAAAAGTTCAGGTCAATCCGCACTCCCTCAGACATGATGAGAACTAGAGGAGTCTCTTGCAGCTTGCTAGTATTTCGAAATTGCCAAGTATACTTGGTCACGCTAATGATCAAAAACTTAGTACGTGGAAAATGAAAGAATCCTGGAGAACTGGTCCAAAGAGTACACCACCAGACAAAGTTGGTTCTTAGGATATGGTTTTGGTGATATTCTACGTGCCAAAACCTTAATATGGGGAGATAGGGAGAACTCAACGTTCTCTTGGGATATCAACTTGATAGTCTACACTATAAATGAAAGGAAGTCTACCCCTACTAGAATGGATGATATCAACAAGTTTTGCTGGAAGCACGCATATCTTCCAAGTTTAATTTCACTCAATAGTCTCTTTTACGAGCTGCTAAAAAGAAGACATGGTTCTCAATCAATTACTAGTACTAATTGATAGCATCAAGCAAATTTCTTGCAATGGGTTGAGCTGCATTGGGGTAGGTGGTCGAGGATGGCGCTGGTTTAAATTCATTGACGGATCACGTATGGAATCCTATACATGATAAATGCATATCGATTCCTGTGGATAGAGACGTTCCAGCATCGCATGGTTTTGGATTTGATCCATCACTAATCAGTATATATATAGTCATAAGAATTGTCCCCAAAGCCTGAGATACCTCTTAGTAGTTTAGTGTTTAATCATATAATCTCAAGCAATAGTTTAAAAATTTATACATAACTCTCATATGATTTGACCTATAATGTCATAGTTAGTTTTTTCTCCTTCTGATGGTCAATGTTAAAATGTTAAAATTAAATTAATAAATTGATAAATTCACTCTTTCAATGTTTTTCTCTTTTCCTTTTCTTTTTTCTCTTTTTTGCCTAACGAAGCTGAACTATGACCTATTAAATCTTAATTTTCTTCAAATGTGAAAAGAAAAAAGAAAGAAAATAAAACAATAGATAAACAAGAAATATAAAATGCCATTGAAGATTTGGAGTCATTAAGGATTTGGTTCATAAAATCTATAAAGATATTCGTAGCCATTAAAGAATTCATATTTTCTATTTTTTATCTATTTCTTTTGTGTTTGGGAAAAAGAAAGTAGTGCAAGGGTGATTTTTTTTAATTTATTAGTTCAATTTTGACTTGTTAACATTGACCATCAATTCTAACAGTAGAACTAACATGACACTTTAACCCATATTATGAAGGGATTAGACATAGAATTTTAAACCAAAGAGAGTAATGTAGTGAAAAACCAAACTACATGAGGGTACAAGATCATTTACCTTAAACAGAAAATAAAGCTAAAAATATAATTCTCAACGTTAAAAGTATAATTTCGTCGGAGCTTGCAATCAATAACTCCTCCACCTTGTTGGTTTTAGTGGGATTGGAAGATGAAAGACTAAGTCGGCATCTTGCGGGCATTCTGGGCCGGGCTTTTAGCTATAATTTTACCCCGAGACAACTCAAAGGTTGTGTTGGTCATCCTTAGTTGACTAACAACAGGGGCGTATCTTTATGAACTTTTGAGATTGAGGGGTCTTTTCCAAGCTTTATTAAACGCGAGGGTCTGACTCATAATATAGACAAACTTCAAAGTTAAAGGGAGGTACATATAACTAGCACAAAAACAAAAATGAATGAAAAACCCCTCACGAAGTTTGCACGTAAGAAATAAACTGAAAAGCACGTGATCTTGGTATATAATAATTCTAACCTTGTCTGGACTGTGGTTTCACGTTTTTCGTAAATATATTTTTTAATTATGTATAAAAAATTTTTAAAGATAACAATTCCTGCTGGCTCGATCTATGTGGGAAATTTTTTAAATTGGCATACGAGGATTTTAATGATACTTCGTTTGGTTAATTTAATCATGCATGAGCTTTAATATCCTATTTCCATGCCATTGACAAAGGAAACTAAAACTTCACTATTTTTAGTGATTCTCCATATAGGATAATCTCTACAAACTTTGTATGCCGCCATGCTTCATCTAATCTGCACGGGGTTGTGTGTGTTATTTATCTATTAGATCATTCGCAAGGAACCCTTAACATGTGTATGTAAATTTTGTCAAGAATTTAGAGACAAAAGGATTTTTTTTTTTTTGAGGAAAAGAAAAAGGATTCAAATTAACAATAATAAATTTGGGAAAATAAATATCTGTATCTTTTCTGAACCTCAATATTCGACTTACCTTTTTTTAAAAAAAAAAATTTTTTTTGATCGGTTAACCCACCATATGAGATCCTACGAGGATTAGGGCTCCCTGCGAATCAGGAAAGAAATAGGATACGCAGTCTACATGCACCTCTATATTACCCTTAGCCGTCTTGCTGCGCCAGCGATGTGATGTTCTGCTACCAATGGACATGAAAAGCTGCAAGATGGTGAGACCAAGAAGAAGCTCACAGGCAAAGGTGAGAATTATGGACCTTCCCACCTGCATCTTAGTAGAGATATTCAAAAGGCTACCAGTAAAGACAATACTTCAATGTAGGACCCTTAACAAAACTTTCTCCAAATTTCTTACCGAGCCTGATTTTCTCAATGCACATCAGAAACAGCAACCCTTAGCCATCCTGTTGGAGGCCCTTAGTCCGCGTGGTGGTAACAGACAAATATGCCAGGCCTTTGCGTTTTCTTGAATTTGGACATGAGCAGGGTGAAGTCGGATTCACGTCGGGAAAGTCTATGCTGGCAAACATCAAACCAATTCGAGGAAATTTTTACGTAGTGGGATCTTGCAACGGCCTTGTTTGTATTGAACATTATTTTGGCTCTTGCCCTGAATTTAGGAGCAATGTCCTTGTGCAATCCTATTCTAGGAGAACGCCAGATTCTGCCGGAAGGAAGGAGTGTGGATGATGATATGATTACAGGCGGTTTTGGCGTTGATCCGTCCACTAATCTTTACAAGGTCCTACTTGTCCATTCAGATATTGGAGGTAAAAGTTATAGTGAGATTTTTACAGTTGGAGTTGATGTTAATTGGAGAATCTTAGAGATGGTAAATTGCCCTTATGTTTTGGATCCTCAAGGCCTGCTTTTTCGAGGAGCCATGCACTGGATGGCTCGGGAGCGTACTTCTAACACGAGGATAGCTGTGTTCATATATGCATTTGATATTGGTGAAGAAAGATTTAGGTCAATAATGGCACCACCCCTTGACATGGAAACGAATAAGGCAAGATCTCTCTTGGTATTAAGAAATTGTCTCTGCATATCATCTTTTGCTTACCATGATTCTCATGAGCTCGATATAAGGAGAATGAAGGAATACGGGGTCGTGGAGTCGTGGTCTAAAGAGTACTCCATACGAGAAAATTGGGTTTCAAGATGCTGCATGGCTTTATTAGAGAAAATTTCATCAGTCAAAATTTGGGGATGGGGAGATGATTCAGTTCTAGTATCAATTAGTACGTCTGAATTTGTTTGTTGCAATCTAGACCAAAGGAAGCACACCAAACTCGAAATTGCCAACATAAAGCAAATAGAGGTAGAATGCACTTTCCTTCATAGCTTAGTGCCGCTAAGAAATCTCTTCACAGGACGAGCCTAAGCATGTACCTGTTCTTGGTGCTGTATTTCCAAACATGTCACAAAGAAACAAGAGCGAATCCCTTCAACACATCAGGCGCAGTTCCATCTATCAATATTGCAGATTCTTTACGAAACTAGTTCAAAGATCCCTGTTGCTAATTTCTCTGTTTCAGTCACTTGGTTTCTAGCGTCCGTTCAAAGTAGCCTTTATCACTAACCAGCACCTTGGGAAGGAATTCAAGCATTCATGAAAATTTTCAACTAAAGTCAATTAATCACAGCAAAGCATTCACCTATTTACTGTTTTGTTCTTTAAAACGCAGCATCCTGCACTGGAGTCACCAACTTAGTGTATAGCCTGTTTATCTAGTATGTAGTAATAAGTTTCTCAAATTGGAAAAAGATAAAAGCGTCCAAGTTGTCTAGTTAGTCTTTAGCCATACAATGATTTGCAAAATTGCACATTACAAATTGCCCATCAATGACAACGTTGCCAGGAAAATTTTCCATTCGTACTCTGAATACGATTTGTATCACATTTACAACCTAGATAACAACTTCTGAATGGAAAATGAAGTGTACATAAATTTGTTCCGACTAGTAAAAATCTTTCTCCATAGCAACCCAATGCTTCCAGAAAATGAAGTGTATATAAATTTGTTCCAACTCGTAAAAATCTTTTCCACAGCACCCCAATGCATCCTCAACTATCAGTAGACTATATGAGCTGGGGAACATTGTACACTGTATCAATTAAATGCATTCAGAATCCACATTGTACTTTTCACATTCAGCTGTCCAATGAAGATCACCATTAAGAGTAGCCTCACATAGCCGAGCTTTATTGGTCTTCTCTGACCACTTAACTGGGATTGGATCCACAGAAAGTCTCCCCGAGTTTCTCCAACCGTCATCTGATCCTACTGTGCAAACATGAGCTTCTAACTGTCGTACCTACTTTATAGTCAGAACCCTCAAGATCTTGTATTGGCCTGCTGCTCGACTAAATCCAACCCGTAAACCTCGTCTTTAAATTTAAAATTCAATTTTTATATACATGTCATGAATCTAACGGTAATAATATAAAATGAATGCATTGGGAGGGAGGGAGTATAAATAGAATGTCCCTGCGTTAAATTAAAAAAAAAGGGTTGCTTTGATAATAATGCCACCTTAAAAAAAATCAGAAAAGGAATAGGAAATCCTAAATCCTAAAACTGTCAGACTTCCATATATATGTGACCGTTCGCCCCCATATGCCTAATAGACAACCTTATGATTTTGGTTCTGCCATAAACTCACCAGAAGCAACCAGCATGGGAAGCTGCAAAAGGTTGAGAGCAACAAGAAATTCAACGGCAAGAACAGTTAGGAGCATTATGGACCTTCCTACATGTATTTTAGTGGAGATATTGTTAGGTGGATGTTTATATTAACCTTTGTTGAAAATCATCATCTATTAAACCCAAAATCTGTATAGTGATTATTAAGAAATAAATTAATAGCAAAATTGCGAAAGCGTACCTGGATTTATATTGACTAATTAGCACTTGAATCCTTGGAGATTTTGTGATGGTCTTCCAAGTCAACACATGAAGATCATTTATACATTTGTATGTCCCAAAAATTTAAAGATTATTCTTTTGTTTTCAATTAATACTTTATTTTCTTTTCTTAGGATAGAAAAAGAAAATAAATTACTATTTGAAAACAAGAGAATAATACTTTCATTTTGGATGTATTCGTGTTTAAAGCAAGCTACAAATGCAATTATCCTATAAATTTAGGGAGGGGGAGAGCAATATAATGGAAGAAAGGAAATTTGAAAATTTTAAGAGGTACAAATAAAAACTAAAATTAAAAATTTTAAACATTCTTAAGGCAACTTTAGCAGCTTTCCACAATTGAGGAGGGGCAATTGCTCAACCTCAATTGTACTTAGCTCCGCTCATCCCCCGGTCTGCATATCATGGTTCAAGCTCGATTGACAGATCTTTGAGTCGAATTTGGGCTCACTAAACTATCATAATTTTGATTCTTTTGCTTTTTAGAATTCATTGTGAATTTGATAGGGTGTTAATTGTTGGTATTTTTATTATTAATTTTCCCTTCTATCCCTGACAAATATTGTGTTAATTGCTGATATTTACTCATATTTGGTATTTGGAATCAATTTCAGGAATGAAGCAGAAAACTACCAAAAAGGAGGGACTTTGTGAAAAATATGGAGACTTCTAAGGGTTTCAATCCTTGGGCCCTTGAATTGGTGGGGGACCACAAGCTAGTGAAAGGCATTTGGTCATTTGGGCTTCAAAGAAAGCAACGTAGAGAGACTTGGAACAAGAAGTACTTGGGAGGCTTTGTCCACATGTGCGGGGACCACGGATAAGAAGCATGAGTCGTTTGGACTCTAGGAAAAGAAACGTACAAGACTTTGAATTTGGTGTGGGGACCACTAGAGATAGCATTAGACTTCCTTTTGGCTTTAAAAAGGGAAAAACGTACGGGAGGTTTAGGAATCAATAGTTTTAGTTTAGGCTTTTAGCATAGTTTTAGTTTTCTTTTTGCTTAGCTCTTTCGCATGGTTGTTCTCCATTAATGGAGGACTAACCTCTTAATTCTAGTCAAGGGGACAACTGAAGATTTGGTTCGACAATTACTGTGAGATCGAATCTGTTTTAATTATTTTCTTCATTTATTGGTATTTATATGTTCCTTGATTTTAATTGCTATGGCCTTGTGTATGATTGATTAGTGCGCAATAATTAATTATTCATATAGGCTATTTTTGCTAAATAGGGGTAATTGAATCCGTAATTGTTCGTTATCTCTACCTCAGTAGCAACTGACGTAATTGGGTTTATGTCAGGGGAGCATATGATCTAATTTAAACAAACCCTCGTAGCGTGTTTGTTGGTTAGGATTGGGCCTTTCTAATTATTAATGCAATCTAGAAATTAAATCCTACGGTCGTACCTAGGGTTATTTTTTGGTTAGAGAAATAGCTAACGGTCGTACCTTAGCTATCGAGAAATTAAGGAAGGGTTGGTTGTTTATCGCGTGCATGACAACTATAACTAATCTATTGCTAAATGTTGGAATTATTTCTGCATCAATGATCAGTGCTTGAACCATTTCTGAAGTGTACCCTTGGCTAGAGTTTTTCTTAATTATTTCTTTTAATCAATTATTTTCTGCACTTGATTTATTTAGTTAGCATTTAATCCAAGAACCTCCCATACTCTGGACTCTAGAAGAAATGAATTATCCCCAGTCCCTGTGGATTCGACCCTGCTCGCCGCTATATACAAAATCTGTATTTTTCTTGAGTAGGTAATTATTATTGCACAGGTTCGGCACCTGTCAATTTTTGGCGCCGTTGCCGGGGACTGGTGTCAGATTAATTTGTTTCTTTTTGAGTTCACCTTGTTCTCATTTTTAATTTATTTTTCTCTTATTTTTTTTTTTTTATAGTTTATGGCTGCTAACATTCCATATTTTGATGATAGACTGGACTTTGTTCCTGAATGGGGTTATGAGACTCATGTTTTTCCTAATGATCAATGGGCTGTTGCAAATTGTGGAACTTATTTTGACTCAGGTTATTCAACTGACACATGCCCCGCATTTCAAGATAATCTAAGTGCTCCAATTGATACTTTTGGAGATTTTTCACCCCAATATCAAACGCAGCATGACCCTTATTCAAACGGGTATGATCAAGGATGGTGGGATAATTCCAATTTTGATTATGCAACCGGGCCAATGGATTTTCAACAGCAAGAGTCTCAGCAGTCATCCTCCGTGTCAGGTATGTCTCTTGAAGAAATGATAGGTTTACTAATTGCTAATTCAAATCGATTTCATCAGGAGACACAAGCGAGCCTAAATCGATATCATCAGAAGACACAAGCGAGCCTTCGCGACCTGGCAGATCAACTGCGTCAATTGACATCCAGGATAGAGCGATTAGCTCCTCAAATGGAAGAATTGCCCGCACAAACCAATATCAATCTTGAGGAAGATGAGAGTGCAATTGTCCGGCCAAATGACATGGAACTGCAAGAGTTTCAAGAAAATGGATTTAAAGATGCAGTTGAAAAGGAAGCTGAAGTGCAAGAAATGAGACTCCAAGATCAACTCGTTCAAGTGAATGAATCCAGTGAACAATCTCCAAATGCGGTGACATCTTCTCCACTCCTTAATCAATATTTTCCTGACTCCTATTCTTCAACTCCTGTTACTGAAATTGATTTTATTATACCAGAAAATTTAAAATTTCATGACAGGAATAAGTTGAGAGTGGAGATGGCAAAATATCTTGAACCAATGAATGCAAGTGAGGGAGGAGTGAATGGAGAATGCAAATTATCATCGACTCGTTTGGCGCCATTCACTAGTCCATGGAAGCCCGTAGCTCGTATGCTCAAGGATTATTCTATTTATGAGGGTTATCAGGACTATATAGAGGATGAAGCAGTAAGACGAGCCACAAGATTTTATCCTCCATGAGCAAAACATGATAATGTCTAGCCAAAGACATTAAAGAAAGGCGCTCCTTGGGAGGCAACCCAATTGTTCCTTTTAATTGTTTGTTCATTTTCGTGTGGTAGTTTAGATGTATTGTCCTTGAATTTGACTGATTTTGGGTTTCAATTTTCGTTTTTGCTGATTTATAGGTGCCCTTCAGTCATGACGCGCCCGCGTGGTGATGTGCAGGAAGCTCACAATCAGAAACTTCTGGGAGCTTTCTTGCTCTCATGACGTGCCCGCGTGGTGATGTGCAGGAAGCTCACGATCAGAAACATCAGAAACTTCTGGGAGCTCTCTTACCCTCATGACGCGCCCGCGTCACGTTCGCGGGAAAGGTAAGGATTAAAAAAAAAAAAAAATTCTTTTAACCGTAGCTACCTCTTTTCTTTTTTGTTACAAAAGAAAACAAATAAAAAATAAAATAAAAATAAAAAAAATTTTGAAAAAAATAAAAAAGAAAAAGAAAAAAAGAGGAAGTAATACGGAATCAAAAGGAAGAATTTTTCTTTCTCCTTAACCGTAGCTAGTCCTTGACTTGTCAACGTAAAAACAAAAAAACAAAAAAAATCCTTTCTTTTTCTTTCTTTTCTTTTTTTCTTTCTTCTTCTTTCTTTCTCTTTTCTTTCTTTCTTCTACTCTGTTCCCCTGCTGGTCCGTCGCCCCTGCTACCCGCACACCTCCAAGCTCAGTGCCGCCCTCAGCTCTCTTTCCACCACCAGATATGCCACCACCGCCCGCCGCGGCCCGTCACCGACACCGCGCGCCAACCTCCACCAGTCCATTAGCCCTCGCGCGCAGCTCTCTCCCCAGCGAGCCC